TAATACATACCGAAATTAAAAGTGTAATCCCCATAAGTATGAGCCCTCCTAGCAGATATTTGTTAGGATTGTGGTATCATGATAGAAGTTGATATATTTTTCCAATCTTTAAGACCTAATTTAAGTTTTTTTTTAAAATAAAAATATCTCTACCATGCGTTGTGCCTAAATTTTATTATTATTTTTTAAAAACAGTGCCCAATTTCTTTTTTCACGGTGATTCATACATTTTAACAAATTATTGTGGAGGCTGAGTTGTATTTTCAAGGCATGGCATGTCTTAATCCAGAGCCTTTACTTTAGCAATCAAATAAAAATATAGAAGTTGCGTGGGTGGCGTTATGACTTACTATTGCCACAAATTTGAGCGGAACTATGGTGCAAATAAAGACTTTTTATTTGATTCTTTTGTTCTTTGTTGCATAGTTTACAGCAGCCATATCATCCCACGTTATGTGTATTTACAAATCTGTACTGTATCTACCCAAGAATTGTTGTTTTTAATTACTCCCTCCGTCCCATAATTTTAGTCCACTTTGAGTTTTCATTTCTAGTTCAAATTGTACTACAAATGAAATCTCAAATTGGACAATAATTTTGGGACAGAGGGAGTACTATTTATACAAATCCAAAGGCATATTTCGTTATAAATTATGCTTTATGGATACATTTCAACAATAAATAAAAATTAATCAACATTGTTGAACAAAACAACAATAAGAATCCTAATTTACCAATAATAAAATAATTGCCTTTTGGGCAGCAACAACTTATAACTTCCTTTTTCTCAGTAAAATATATAACTCAAATAAAATCCATTTGGCATTGCTTGTTCAATACATCAATCATCACAATTCACAAGTATGGACTTCAATCCATGGCAAAACAACGGGGTAGAAAGACTGAGACAGATCACAAACATTTAGGATTAATTAACATTATCAAAATACTTTATAATATGAGCGGAGGGAGTATATCGGTTGAGATCTTCCTGAAGGATTGAAACATGTTGAAGATCGGTAAAATTTATTGCCATTAGAGACTGTAGGACAGTGAATCATTGTGACTCCATTGGGTCCATTGGGATCATCACAAACTCTCACTTCTTCCAAAACATATATTCCCTGTTGCACCGTCTTAAATATACAGTGATGTTGTTCGGCCAGAGGTCGTGGATTGTGAAATTATTGGTTGTGGAGGACTCCTCCGGCATGTGATTATGGGTTTTGAACATAAGCTTGTTGGCCACCGATGGACCATAACAAAGAGGTCGAATGCTGCATCAATCGCCTGAAATGACAGCAAGAGCGAAAGTTAGAATAACACTAGCCACTTAGCCTTCTTGCTATATGTCCCTATATATGTTGCTACTAATTTGATTAATTTGTTGATGATCAATATGATTATGATTTTGCTCTAACTTGAGATTATATATATATATATATATTCAAAAAAAAAGGAGATGGCCAAGGTACTGCCAATTGATTATATTATATTTTAACAGACTAAACATCCTTTGACCAAGAAAGAGGAGTTGCGTAATAGAGTTTTTGTGAGAATTTGTTACCAATCAACTTAGTGGCGGAGCTATAAATAATTTTCGGTGAAGACACAAGAATAACATATACCTATCAATTTATTTTTCATCAACTTTATACGTATATATATACATGTGATTTACACATATTTTGTACGTGATTTGCACGTAAATTGTATATCACTAATTTCAATTATATACATTTCCAACAACAATGTATGAACGAAACTTTTTCCCTAAAAAAAAGTCAGTTATATACATTTAGACACAAATTAGGATAACATATTATGATCAAATCGATAAATATAATTGTTAGAAATGATCTATTTTTAAACTATAATTGACACATAGTAAGGTAAAATAATAAAAAATTTTATGTGACTAACAAAATATAAAATATCTAATGGAAATTTGATTAAAAAATACTCGGATTAATTTTGAGAAATTTTAAAAATTATATACTACTTTTACATTTTTGAAATTGAATGGGGACACGTGCCCTGATGCCCCATTGTAAATCCGTCACTGAATCAACTTTGTACTTAGCTTTACTCATTAATTGGAAAAACAGCAAAAGGTAAACCTTAAATTAATTGAAATACACAATTCCAAGTCTAGTAATGAAGTAAATGGAGGATAAAAACTTTTAGTAATATATCTTAAATTTGTTATTTGGTTTATTATCATTTATTATTATCGTGTATAACAGTTTTCTTGTTTGGCAATTTCTTCTGGCACAAAAACAGGGATATCATAGAACAATATGTAACCGAAACAAGAAAAAAAAAAAATATTTACTTGCGTACGGAACAAAAATTAATTTTTTCCCCAAGTAATAACATATATAGAATCTCAAGGAATCAACAAATAGATATAATTAATTAAATAAAGGCAAATTGGTTGTTGTTTTTTACTTTATCATTAGTGTTGTGAAATTTGTTTGGATCAATTCCGCTATAATTCCATTATTTCCTTAAAAAAAAGTAATTTTGTTAGAGAAAGGAGGATTATCTAATGATAACGAAATAAAAATTAATGTATGTAGAGATGAGCATCTTGCTGGCTCGAAAGTAATGAGAACCGAGATAAATTTCTTGTTAGTAATGATATTTTATATCTACAAAATTTTAATAATGGTTTTACTATGCATTGTAATCGTAAGGTATAACAGAAAGAAGGAAAAAAAAAAAAAAACAAAGAAAAAGAAAACAACTTGTGTAAGGTGAGGCATGGCGTCAATTCCCCTAATAATTAACTTATGGCCTTATGCATTATCACGATTATGATCGATCAAATATGAATTGTAGTCGTCGTTTGCCGATTAAATTTAGATTATCGATATTCTATGAAAAATTACAAGCACAAACCTTAAAGAATATATATATATATATATATATATATACCCACACGTATGATGATATTATATTATATATGCATAATATAATATCTATCTCTAATTGCCCTTTTATTTCAATCTACACAAACCTTAAAGAATATACACATATGATTTCAAACTCAATCATTGTAATATCCATCTTATTAAAAAATATTGAAATCTAATAGGTAAAATTACAAAAAAAAATCAAGTAAAATTTTTCTTATATTTAAGCTCAAAGAAATTTAGATTTTAATAATATTAATACCACTTAATTCTCACACCATCTTTTTACCTCATTTTTTACCGTTTACTTATAAATTTAAATTTGTATAATCTATTTTTTATTTTATTTAATTTCATAATCAACCATTAATCGAGTAAATAGTAGTTTCTTCAAATTAATAATCATTTTAATAGATATTTTAAGATATTTCGTGCAACGCACGGGAGAGAACCTACTATATATATACACACACGTATGATGATATTATATTATATTATATATGCATAATATAATATCATCTCTAATTGCCCTTTTATTTCAATCTGCACAAACCTTAAAGAATATACACGTATGATTTCTGTCAGCCATATCAAAACATTGTAATTTATTCATATATATATATATGTATATATACACATATCAGTCTGGGCAGTGGGATATTTATATATATATATATATATATACACACACACACACATATCAGTCTGGGCAGTGGGAGATGATTTCATTTGTCTGGAAGAAATTTTCATTGAGATATTGGTGAAGGTGATATTTTTTTTTTTTTTAAAGAGCTGATACTTTTATTAATGAGGATACCAAAGAAAAAGATTACAACAAAGTGAGGTGATAAGCAATGTTATGCACCTCTTCTACTTCTTGTCCTTAAAAATAGTACATATGTCAAAACACATCATAAGTAATCTAAGTTCTACAACTAGAGCTTGTACCTCTAAAGGAAATTTTCTTCAAATTTTCCAAAAAGCTGCAATCTGTGTGGAATCGGACTCGAGTGAGACCCAACCTCCAAGCTTCCTGTAACGCAAATTTGCAGGCTGTGAATTCAGTTTGTAAGGCAGATAATGCATGAATCCGAGTTCCATTGATTTGCAACACTGCCCCTTGGCTGGAAGTAATTTTCCACGCAGAACTCGCCTTCATCGTTGTGCTGAGAAAGGACCCTTCAATCACGATTTCAGCATCATATTGTTGCTGCATTGGTCTAGGATATTGCTCTTCTCGAACAGTGGACAAAACTTTGTGTTGTTCAAAGATTTTAGAGTGAAACTCAAAATCTTCGCTTATGATGGTCCATGTGTCAGAAGGCTCTATCAATACTCCTTGCCAAATCAACTGATTTCTGCATTTCCAAATGGACCAAATCACATGGATGGAAAGATTGAGCAGATGTGGATCAGGTGCATCATGAACCCATTGAAAAAAACCACTCCTTAAAGCTAACTGGAGCTCCAGAATCAAAATTCAGTCCCCAATGGTGATAACCTCCAAATTCGCTTCGACCATTCGCAACCAGAAACAAGTGAGAAGTCGTTTCCTCAACTGTGCTACATCTAGGACACAGAGAGCCCTCCAAATAAGTAACTTATACTTAGAAGGGGCATTTGCTCTCCAAATTTGCTTCCAAGCATTTTTTTTTTCTAGCGCATTGATTCCTGCCTTTACGGAGTGACTTAAATTCCAAGTTTTGTGATAACCTGTTTTCACTGAATAAAGACCATTGGGTGAACCGCACCACACAATTCTGCCCAGCTGGTCACCAGCCAACGGATTAATATGAATTCCAAGGATATGTTGCACCACATTGGGTGGAAAGAAAATTATTATTGAGGTTTGAGTTGCGTTTGCAAGGCATGGCAGGCCCGGATCCCTATTTTAGCAGCAATCAAATAAAAATATAGTTTGGTAACTCGCGTTATTGACTTCTATTTTATTTTTTATTATTATTATTATTTTTTTGGTGAATGAACAAAAATCTGATTTCCATCTTTACAAATTCCCAAGGAATCCGAGCTATGTTATACATTGCTATCTCTTGAACTAAATGTGATTACAGATTACCTGAACTATCTACTTGGTAACTGAGCTGCTTCGGATGGGAAAAAAGAATCCAGTTCATCACGATAGCCATTCCCATTTGACAGAACTTCCTCCACATTCTCTGTTTGATGTGGAGAATCAGGCAACACTTTATTTTTGTTGGGCACCATTTCGTCTTCTAGGGTTGCAACATCTGAAACAGGTCCGAGGGACTGAGTGTTCCATTTGATACGAACTGCATCAGCCTGGTCCGCAAAGAAGACTTTTGAAATAGATGAACTGCAGATTGATTTGTACGCCTTGTAATTACCAGCACATGTTTGCCCACCTTAGAGAACTTTCGATAGGGGGTGTATAAACCAATATAGGATCATTGCTTCTTTCTAAGGTTTTCTTCAGCACCAAAAATTCTGACACTAACTCTTCTTTACTGAACTGGATAAAATCATTGAGACGGCAGTTGAACCAAAAGCTTTAGAAAAGCATTCTCGAATCTCACTTGCCTTGAGTTTAGATGGAAATCCCCACAGTACAACTATATTTTGATATAGAATCTGCGAGCATCGATTTTTCCAGCTTCTAGAACTCGTTAGTTCTGGTTTACAATTCCCAGTTCTTAGGTCGATAATATTTCCATTGATCCGGCTAAGATAGAGATGATTGACCTACCCCTGAAGCAAAGCGCACGAGAGTGGATGGCAATTGAAATCAACACACAAGTAACTGCAGGCCTGAGCGAAAACACAACCTGTCATGAATGCATCGTACCCTGCCTCATGCTTGGCTCCAGAATTCCAGTTTTGACCTCTTGTCATCAACTTGAACCTCCACTTTGACATGATACTTATCATCTGACCCACAAGGTTTTTTCTACAGAAGCAATTTGAGGGCAGAGCAAAGCAAATGCTTTAGACAATGATGTATTACGACTACTTCTCTTCAGAAGGGTTTCAAGTACAGAGTTGGTATTCAACATCACCTCGTATCCATCATGAACGGGAAATACTTCTGGACAGTTGCTACAAAATCTTTGGCAGTTGGAAGGAAGATGGCCGATAAATTTTCTGTAGATGTGTGCTACATCAAGAAAACTATTGTGCCCGACAATCAACTTTTTCTTGGAGGAGAGTAGATCAATAACTTGCCGGAATCCAATGGCTCCTTTAATCTTCATCTCCGATTCTTTCCTAATGCAATCCTTCACTTCTCTCAGAAGTAAGTCCTGATCACTTCTTGATTTGGTGTAAACAATCAGGTGCTCTTGGCAGGGAGCTCCATTGGTCACGAGACAAATACCAGATCTTTAAAATGTTTTTCGATAACCTTAGTTGGTGCGAGGTAAATCCACTGAGATCAATGGCAGGGTGCATTTGGAAGAAAATAGTTTTCATTTTCTGACTTGAAGGCTTTGACCTGTTCTCAGTCTCTAATCTTCCATTATTCCCATCCCTTATGTCAATAAATGAGGCAAATCATCCTTGTATCTTTCATTCAATCGCCTCAAGGCTTCCTCTTCTTGGTTTCTGGACAAATAAGATATTCCATCACGAAGACATGTATTGACTTCTACCATTAGTCCATTACTACTGCCACAACTTTGAGCGGAACCACGATGCAGACCAAGACCTTTTATTCGATTCTTTGTTCTTTGTTGCCTAGTTAGTTTACAACTGCCATATCATCGGAACTTATATCCCACATCAGATGGCAGTATCAATTATCAAAGACTACTCACAAGATCAGAATATAATTGATGAGATGACGAAATTACAGATAGATTGGTACGGGTGCCAAACTCTCCTTATAAATCACAACTTCCAGTGAGCCACGGGATCCAACAATACCATATCTCTTCACTTGTTGGATATCCAAGTTATCCTCCTCCTGGAGTTCGCATGAACTTAATTCTCCCATGGGTACACCATTCTCCTCACCATGGTTGCTGTCAAAAAGGAGCCTATCATTATTCCAACAACTCAAGTTTCCAAAGATCCCATAAAATGTTCTAATAGTACATTTTTTCGTCCATGATGCATCATTCCCATACTCTGTCATCACCCATATGGCCACAGATTGTGGAACCATATTTATGCTCTCAATATTTGCTTGGGCAGAGACATATGCTTGGGGAGAGACATATGTTTGGGGAGAGACCAGAACGAAGGATAGGTTACCCTCTAAGATCGAGAAATTCGAATAGATACCACATCCAAAAACATTTTTATCAGGACACTTCATCTCTCGGGCTACCTCAAGGCTCATATCGAAGACGGCGATGACAACTTCACCGCGGTGGGATGAGACCCAGTGGTATGATCCATGAAAGAATATACCATAATAAATCGGACCAGGTTCAAAACTGAAATTTTGACGTCTCCAAGAATTAGAGCTAAGATTATAGATATCAATAAGGCAGCAGTCATCAACAACTTGGCCATCAACAACGAAGTCGTCCACGTAAGGATCTTCCATATTCGGCATTGTTAAATAAAAAACCTTATATGCATTAGCACCGGAATCAAAACCAAATCCCACCTTGGCGATAGTGCCAGTGAATCCAGGCGGATAGTCAAAGGGACGGGAAGGAATCATCTTGATCTCTCGGGTAGCCGGGTTGCACAGAAAAATACGATCATCCCCGAATGGATTTGGATTTGCCAAGCAAACAAGGCCGTTGCAAGAACCAGAAACAAGAAGTTTATCATCAAAAACTGGTAAATCAGGGGCAACCCTGCGGAGTGATTCGTCCGGATCGTAAGAATGGAATCACAAAATAGTATCACGGGTATGTACCTTCAGCCTTGGGTCGCCCCGGATGACCCGCGTGACGACGATGGCATTGTTATCCTTGTCTTTTGAAGCGGTGGAATGCAAATCCACGAAACGGCACGCACTGGAATTTCATCAAGCATTTGACGGGCAATCTTGCCAGAATATGAATCACCACATCCTCAGGCAAATCCATGATCCGGTTTTAGGGGTCTTTTCTAAGTTAGAGGATTCTGACAAAATAAAGGCAAATTATCCAGTATACCTGGGGGCACGGTATCCCCTCCTATTTTTTGCACGAGTAGTCCTTATTGTATTTTTCATCAATCTTTCTATATTTTACAAGTGTAGTCCTTGTCATTTTTTCTCTCTCTTCCAAAAAAAAAAAACTCTAATCTTTCAATGACCATATCTCATAATCCGTAAAGAATTAGAGAATGTGTTATGCATGAAAATTATAGTAATCGTCGAGATCTATTCAACAAAATCCATTTCGAATATTTTTTTTGAGTTTAAAAATGATCAAATTTCTTTAGGCAGAAGTAAGTTGGATATCCAGTGCAAACAAGTTGGATAATCAGAATGAACACAGTGGATAATCAGTTCAAACAATTTGGATAACCATGTAAATCCGTTGGATAACCAGTATGCACGAGTTGGATAACCAGTATGAACACAGTGGATAACCAGTTCAAACAATTTGGATAACTATGTAAATCCGTTGGATAACCAGCATTAGCGCATTGGATAATCCATTACAAACCAATGATTGGATAACCAATACAAATGAGTTGGATAACCAACTTAGTTTATTATTTTTTAAAAAAATAATAAAAAGAAAAACCAGGTTGGATAAATAATACTAATTAGTTGGATAAACAGTATTAACATAAATAATCAAGATGGATAACCAACTTATTTCACATTCATATCGTTGTGTTCCTTGTATCTTTTGATCCATAAAGAATTATAACACGAATTATATATGAAATTTATAGTGCTCGACGAGATCTATCCGATACGATCCATGTTGAATTTTTTTTGAACTTTAAATGTATTTAAATTTTACGGGCAGAAATGAAGAAATGTGTTTTTTGTTTTTCTTTGAAAAATGGTTATCTGTTGTGTTCTTACTGATTATCCAACCGGTTTGAACTAGTTATCCATTCTGTTCGTACTTGTTATCTAATCATATGTTTGACATTCACTCTTCACACAAAAAAAAAAGATGGATAACCACCTCTATTCTACCCATTAGAATTAAGTCATTTTTAGGCCCGAAAAAATGTTCACTGTGGATTTCGTTGGATAGATCTCGACGAGTACTATAAATTTCATATATAATTCGTTCACAAATTCTTCACGGATCGGGAGATATGCTCGTTGAAAGATTAGAGTTGGATATGCATACAAACCAAATGGATGGATATCCAGTACAAACAAGTTGGATAATCAGCATGAACATAGTGGATAACCAGTACAAATAATTTGAATAAGCATGTAAATCCATTGGATAACCAGTATTAACGCATTGGATAATCAATATGAACACATTGGATATCCAGTTTAAGAAGATGGATAACTAACTTATTTTGAATTAAGAAGTTGGATAACCAAATGGATAAGCAGTAGAAACAAAATGGATAACCAGTTCAAACGGATTGGATAATCAGCATGAACACAATGGATAACCAATTTAGAACAAGTTGGTTATCCATATTGTAAAACTGGATATCCACCCATATTCTGTCCAGCAGAATTAAGTCATTTTTAAGCTCGAAAAAATATTCACTATGGATTTTGTTGGATAGATCTTGACGAGTACTATAAATTTCATATATAATTCGTTCACAAAAATTCTTCACGGATTGGGAGATATGCTCGTTTAAAGATTAGGGATGTTTTTTTTTGGAAGAGAGAAAAAAAACTCACAGGGACTAAACGTGTAAAATATAGAAAGATTGAGAAAAAAATATAATAAGGACTAAAAATGTAAAAAATAGGAGGAGGGCACGGTGCCCTCGGGTATACTGGATACAGCCTCTCTAAGGGATCCCTCCCAGGCTGTGATAAACGGCAAAACCAAGAATATCTTTAATTTGGTAATCTGTGTGGTCTTTACCCGGTAAATATTGTCGAGGAACAAGAAATGTTTTGGATTGGAAAGGTAGTAAACATAATAATAATCTCTTTATTATTAGTTCTGAATTCTCTGCGGTGTGTCATCCACCGACTAAAATTATTTTGACTAAATTTCATAATTGGTCCCCGGGATTAGGCCAAAAGTCCATTTTGACTTGTAATAACTACTGATTTTGGTATGGATCATTTCATTTTTCTTTAAAATCTATTTTAGTCTAAAAATAGGATTCTGTCGAGTTTTGTGCTTGGCTGCTTAAAGGTCTTCACTCGACTGGATTTTTTCGAGAGGTGATGGTGCTAGGCGTCAAAGAGAATCATGGTAGCGGAGATTTGGCGGGTTGACAAATTGGTTCAATATCAAATCCGGAGTTCCATACTTGCTTTCTTATTGTCAAATGTTAACGTTGGTAAAAACAAATGTCAATACATCATCCCCGCGAATAAAATGCCAAGATATTTTTCGGGGTCTCATGATGATGAACAATAAATAAGCCCATCGTTTGGGTGAAATATTGGACTGCGTATATACTTAAAATATGACAGTAGTGGAAGATTGAAGATTATATTCGACTTGAGCAAAATTTCAGATATCATAGTTGAAATTGTGACGACTTAGGTCACGGTTTTTCTTCTCCTTCATTCTTTTTTCATTATTTCTAATCGTAACATACTCTCTCCATCAAAATATCTCATTACATTTATTGGAAGAGAACTCAGAGGTTGTAATACTTATTTCATTTCTTTTACTCCCTACATCCAAAATTTTTGTCTAGTTTAAATTTTTAATTTTAATTTAAACTGTACTAAAAATGAAAATCTATATTTAATAATAATTTTGAGACCGAAAAAGTATTAACTAAAAAAAAGTTCCTTTACTCAGCACAATAACTTTAGTAGTAAACGACATTTGCATTTCCTCTACCATATATCACCCTCGCAAGTGAACTGTTTAAAAGAGTGCTCCTCAATCTGTGCCTAAGGCAACTAAATGGGGCAGATAGACAAAGCACGAAGGTCCGCAAGGTACTAACTTGCTCTCGCCATCTCGGAGAAAGTCTCCATTTAATTGATGCGACACAAGTGGTTCAAGCTTCCTATCAATGTAACAATGTTGTTAGAACACAATTCGATTACAGGTAATGCACTCCTAACAAGAAGAGATGGCAATCGATATTCGATTTTGCCCATGAACTATAAAATTTTAAGCAATGAAAATACTCCAAATATATGACGATTGAAAAATCATAATAATCATATTACAAAGAGAAGATGGCAGTACCAATTATGAGAAGCAACTCAGCGTGATTAGAACAAAATTGATGACATGAATATCAATCAAATCACTGATTAATTGGTACCAAACTCTCCTTATAAATCACAGCTTCTAATGTGCCACGGAATCCAACAATGCCATATCTCTTAACTTGTTGGACATTCAAGTTATCCTCGTCCAGGATTTCACATGAACTTAACTCTCTCATTGATGCTCTGTTCGTTGTACCATTGTCACTGTCAAACAGAAGCTTATCATTCCAACAACTCAAGTTATCAAAGATTCCGTAAAAGGATCCTATGGTACATTTCTTCATCCATGATGAATCATTCCCTTATTCCTTCATAACCCATATGGCCACGAATTGTGGATTCATGTTTCCATCCTCGTTGTACATCTGGGGAGATGCCGCAACCATGGCTAGGTTACCCTCTAAGATCGTGAAACTCGAGTAGATATCAGAATCAAATGTATTTTTATCAGGACACTTCATCCATCTCGCTACCTCAAGGCTCATATCGAAAGAGGCGATAACAGATCCGCCATGGTCGGCTGAGAGCCAATGGTACGATCCATGAAAGAATATACCATTACTATTGATACCAGGTCGAAAACAGGTATTCTGTCGTCTCCAAGAATTGGAGCTGAGATAATAAATACTGTATCAATAAGACAACAGTCATCTGGATGGGGGTCCAGGTAAGGATCGTCCATATTAGGCATTGATAAACACAAAACCTTATAAGCATTAGCACGAGAATCAAAACCAAATCCCACCTCCTCAATAGTACCAGTGAATCCAAGTGGATGACCAAAAGGAGGGGAATGTATTCTCTTAATCTCTCGGGTAGCCGGATTGCACAAAAAAAATACAATCGTGTCCATTGGACAAGCAAACCACGTCATTGCAAGAACCAGAAACAAGAAGTTCATCATCAAAAACTGGTAAATCAGGGGAAACCTTGCGGAGTGATTCGCCTGGATCGTAAGAATGGAATGACAAAACAGTATAACATGGATCACTAGGGGATACCTGCTTAGTTGGGCTGCCTCCGATGAGGCGCTTGACGACGATGGCATTGTTATCCTTTGAAGCGCTGGAATGCAGATCCACGAAATGGGGACTCCTTATCAACCCACGCCAACATTTACACACGCGCTGGAATTTCATCAAGCATTTGACGGGCAATCTTGCCAGAATATCAACGAGCACATCTTTGGGCAAATTCATTATCACGATTCCGGGGGGTTTTTCAGTTTCACATTCCAGATGGAATGGTGATAACAATTAGAAACTGATAAGGATGATTTTGGGTTAATTTACAATTCTGAATTCTGCCAAATAAAGCGATCCTCCTGGTGAGATGGTCGAATTTTAATGGGAAAAAAGAAGAAGATGTTAATGATCATTTTTTAAAAAAATTTTAATTTTAGTAGTTGCCATTAAATGAATTAATCGTTATTATTGATCAATGGAAAAACATGTCACTGGCAACACTAATTGTTTTACATTCTAATTGAAATTCTATTTCTGAATACTATTGTCCCTATAAACTTATTGTTATACATTTTTATACAAAAATAGCAACAATACATTTACAGCTTTATCATTTTCACTAACATGATAGTAATATTTATTACGTAATTTATATCTCTGGTTGATTTACTACTAGTAAACCATTAAAAGTTTTTTTTCGAAATAGAGAGAGCTAATATTTTCTCTAGTTTTTTATGAATTATAATCTGTTCTTATGAATGAAACAAACAACTATCAAAAACATTTGATTTGATTTTCTATTATATTGGACAAAAAATAAACTTTTTAGAAAACCTTAATAATCAACAACGTATAAATTTTTATATCTCTAACTTTTTAACATTTTTTTACATGTTTATTTAGTATCTGATTAATGTATTAGAATTTAGAATGTTTTCATCATTTATTTACGTTCGATGATGAAAAAATTGTTCACCATGCAATCTTAAAATGTTCCTAAATCCTAATCCTTAAATATGGAGAATGAGAACAGCGACTTTTTATTAGGGAGATTAAAAAAAAAAAAAAGTCACACCCTCGTATTTTTCCATTTCTCATTTGAAAAAGGGATTACTAGTTACTACTGGCCAGTGGCTTTGCAAAAGCAAAAAAGAGGAAAACAAATACTAAAAGGAAAATCATTCATGACACGTGTCAGGTGTTGAAGCGTTGATTATACGCTAACTGTCATCAAATTCGGACAACAATCCAAAAATTCGGACATCAAACCCTTTTTTCTCTCATTTTCTTTCTGACCTTCTCTTAATACTCTCTCTCTCTCTACCTCATTTTCTCAACCCAAAACGACGCCCAAAGGCCCCCCACCCCACCGCCCTTTTCTGTCTTCCTCCGCCGGAATATTCCTCTTCCACCAATATAACATTCCTTAATTTACATCTTCCTTTCCATTTCACGCGGACATCGATGTTTTTGTATCTATTGTTATAACAATTAAGGTTTTCTTTTTTTTCCTCTTTTTTTTTTTTGGATTTTTCCAATTTTATCTGAGATAAAGCTTCGATCTATCGGGTTCTTTGCCGGATCTGTGCTTAGAAGTAGGGGGTTTTCTTCGAAAGTTGGTAGATGTCTATGCCGTCGTCGTACTGGTGTTACAGATGCAATGGATTCGTTCGGGTCTGGAATCAGGATTCGGTCACTTGCCCCGATTGCAACGGCGGGTTTGTCGAAGAGATCGAGACTCCGATTCGATCCTCACTTTCCGATTCTCGGCGCCGCCGTTTCCCCGCTGCGGCGATGTACATGATGAGGCATCCTGATTCAGGTCAAGGTACGACTTCCGGTTCGGGTTCGGGTTCTAGCCCTGCCTTGCGGAGAAGCAGGAGGAGCGGCGGTGACAGGTCTCCGTTTAATCCGGTGATAGTTCTTAGAGGGCCGGCTGATGGTGGGGGCGGAGGAGGAACCGGCGGCGGGGGTGCGGGTGGGGTTGGGGTTGGTGGTGGATTCGAGTTGTACTATGATGATGGCGCTGGTTCCGGTTTGAGGCCATTACCCGCCAGCATGTCGGAGTTTTTACGCGGGTCGGGTTTCGACCGTCTGCTGGACCAATTAGCTCAGATTGAAGCGAATGGAATTGGAAGAATCGACAATCCGCCGGCTTCAAAAGCAGCGATTGAATCAATGCCCACAATTGAGATCGATCAGAGCCATATGCACACTGAATCCCACTGTGCTGTTTGCAAAGAAGCCTTCGAATTGGGTTGTGAGGCCCGGGAAATGCCCTGCAAGCATATATACCACTCAGACTGCATCCTTCCATGGCTTACTCTGCGAAACTCTTGCCCAGTTTGTAGACATGAATTGCCCACGGATAATGCTCGTGATGTTGCAGAACCAAACGGAATATCTAACAATGAGCAGAATCATAATGGTGTTGCCGTCGGAAATGATGAAGAAACGGTTGGTCTGACCATTTGGCGATTGCCTGGTGGTGGGTTTGCTGTGGGGAGATTTGCTGGCGGGAGAAGAAACGGGGAGAGAGAGCTTCCGGTGGTGTATACGGAAATGGATGGTGGCTTTAATAACAATGGAGTTCCAAGGAGAATATCTTGGGGTTCAAGAGGAGTTGTTTCACGGCAAAGCCGGGGTTTGAGGAGAGCTTTTCAGAGCTTGTTTTCATGTTTTGGTGGTGGTGGATCATCTGGGTCGAGTTCGAGTTCAGATTCAAGGATAACCCGGGGAAGTAGTTCAATTTCATCTGTATTTAGTGCCGGACCGACAAGGCGGAGGTACTGGGCGTTTGATATTAATGGTGGAAATCGGAGATGGTAAATTGTTGAGCTTAATCGTTTGATCATTTGAATTTCTTGAGAAAACACGGTCTAGTTTTACTGCAGAATGAATTTGTAAATAGCAAAACATGATGGCATGAAGGCTTTTTCAATTTTATCCATTCTTTCTTCCCAAAGATTGTAAGTGTTGATTTTTAATAAAAATCAGTATTGATTTATTTTGGGAAGAAGTTACAATGTTGGAGGAAGAGTAAATAAGATTGGCTTATGGGTCGAAGTAGCCAAATGTTACACATTTAAGGAAGTCATTGGCATTCCCTGATATGTTTCTGCTTCTGCTGAGTTGTCGTCTTTCTGTGATTTTTGCCTGAAATACTCAGGAGGAACATGATTCCAGCACAGTATGATAATTCCTCTTAGGTGGTAATGGATCTTCTTGTATCATGTGATTCCTTCTTGTATCATGTGATTCCTTCTTGTTATTTATTCAAACTATGATTAAAAACGGATACATTTTAAGTAACAACTCCAAATCAAGAAGTTGGCGAGCCCGTTTTATTGCAGAAAGTGATTCAATATTTCCATACCTCAATGCGGCTACTCTTTGGAAAAATTGCACCTCCTGTGTGTGCCGAAATCTATAATATTGTTCTGCCTGATTGGTCGTCACTCGTCACTCTTAAGATCTTTTGGTTTACCCAATGAAAGCAACGGCTTCACGTCAATCTTAATATGGCATGTCATTCCTCTGGGGTGTTGTTTTCCCTTTTAACTTTTGGTCTTTGACATCAGATATATCGCTGCCTTTCTAGGAGTAGATTCTGGGCTTGGTTCTACAAGTCCATTTTGGCAAACCCAATCACAAAAGAGTGGAATGTCTGGGAACTTTTTAGCACCAACTCCGAATGTCGAGATTCAATGGTTCTGATTTATGAACAAACAGTTTACCTCGTACGTTAATGATCGAGCAATAACATCAACCATTCTAACCTCTTCCGTGTTAAAACTTTCGGGTCCATTTCCTTGTCGTGTTTGTATGCCAAAAGCAGGAGTTCATCCGTCTCATCCTGTAAGCTTTGCTCGGAGGACACTAAACACTAACTAACAATTCCATATTTGCGAAGATATCAAACAACCAGTTCACAAGCTAGGATAGAGGACAGCCAAAGCCTAGACCCTCTCTAGCTGGTTGACATCTCCAGCTCAGTTGATCGGTTCTGCTGCCATTTCCGGCAATGCTTAACCTCCGTACACAATTGCATACCTACTATAGCTCTACCAGCCTCTTTTTTCTTAATCGCATTTTAACTATCAGGACAGTCTCATGTTATTGCATTTTACTATTCTAATGTTAACATTTGATACTTCGCTCAACTAATAATAATATTTTTTCAATGTTTTAGCTGAACCTTATGATTTTTATTAGAACCATCATTATTACTCCCTCTGTTCCGAAATTATTCTCCCGATTGAACTTTTACTTTTAGTTCAAATTGTACTAGAAATGAAAATCTTGAGACTGAGGGAAGATTATTATTTTGGTGACTAAACTGTATAAATGGTCCCCTACATTTGTCCGAATTTAAATTTTGGTCACATACATCAACATGTATATGAATTGAGCCTTTACATTTCATTTTGAAACTATTTTGGTCTCTTTTTACTGTTCCGTCACCATTTCCGTCTTGATGACCGTTGACCCTACCAAGTCAGGGGTATTTTCGGAATGACACATATAAGATCAAAATAACAAATGTTTTTATAATAAAATAGAATAAAATATTAAAAATTATTATTTTATAATAAAAAATTAAATAATTTAAAAATTAAAATAAAAAATTAAAATGATTTCAAATTTCAAATTTCAAATTTTTTTTTCACTTCCCACCTTTGTGGGTCCCACATGCGAGTCAATTTCCCCCCCTTTTTTTTGCTACAGTTAAAAAAAATCAAAATTAAAAAGTAAACTTACCTTCACCCGTCTTTTACCTTTACCCTTAAAAATTTTATTCTCATAATCCGAAATGCTATTTATTAATTTTATTCTTACCAAGTCACTGCTGGTAAAGGTAAAAGACGGGTGAATGTAAGTTTGTTTTTTAATTTTGATTATTTTTACTGTAGCAAAAAAAGAGGGAGAAATTGATTGGCATGTGAGACCCACAAAGGTGGGAAGTGAAAAAAAAAATTTAAAATTTGAAATTTGAAATCATTTTAATTTTTTATTTTTATTTTTAGATTATTTAATTTTTTATTATAAAATAATAATTTTTAATATTTTATTCTATTTTATTATAAAAACATTTGTTATTTTGATCTTATATGTGTCATTCCGAAAATAAAACTCTTGATTTGGTAGGGTCAACGGTCATCAAGACGGAAATAGTGACGGAAACAGTGAAAAAAGACCAAAAAAGTTTTAAAATGAAATGTAAAGGCTCAATCCATATACATGTTGATGTAGAGGACCAAAACTTAAATTTAAATAAATATAAGGGACCATTTATACAGTTTAGTCTTATTTTGGTGCGTACCATACAACTCGATCGATTATGGTTTTGAACAGTATAAATTCTCTACGACATTATTCATTCAGTGGTTACCTAGTACAGACCTTAGACGCATGATTTCGTAGGTTACGTCCAATTACTGAAATAGCCAGAATAGGTGCAAGTTTATGAAAAACAATTTAGTCAATTAGACTGATGAATATAAAATAGTTCAATTATAGGGCGCCTTCAATCAGATTGTCACAAACTAATTAGTGATGATTGATTTCTAAATCCTAGTCACTCAGAGGACCCAGTAAGTTACGAATAAAGAAGAACGCGTTTATGATTTTGATTAAAGAATCAATTAAGGTCACGCTCCGTAATGCATTGTTTTCCTAATCTTTACCTGTAAATTTTGATTGTGATGTCACAACCGATATATGTTTCGTTCTCTTTTGGTTTAACTCTATTAGTTTGTTGTCCTCCATGGCTCCATGAAAAATTATGCAAATTAATCATTCAAATCTTCGTACTGTTGGGTGACAAAATATCAGATAATCTTTACGTGGCTTTGAATTAGTTCACATTATAAGATGTAGATTGACAATTAATTATACTCCCTCCGTCCCATAATTATTGTCCAGTTTGGATTTTCATTTTTAGTTCAATTTGTACTAAGAGTGAAATTTCAAACTGGACAATAATTTCAGGACAGAGAGAATATATTTTTATATCATCCATTTACGAGACTATAATACAATTTCACCCTCGATCGACTATCGAACTCTTACCGTAGTTTTTTTTTTTTTGTTTACGGTTCTCACGTGTTCTTTATCTATCAAGTCGTGCAAATATTAGGAATTAGTGAGGCGAGGCTCATGCATGAATTCGGCTCCGTTTAGGCAAATGTTACATTCAATTGATCAGTGAATGCGGGTCATCTCATCTCTGTTTCGATATGATATGCTATGAGGTATCTAAAATGGGTCCAAATACGGACCATATCAATCAATTTTGTAATTAGCCGGACATTCTAGTCTGCTCGATTAGGTAAGTCGATAGTTCTAAAAAGATTCGGTGGCGTAAAGGGTCTCAACTATCAATTACTAAATATTTTCAATGTTGATACTTCCAATTGCGTCGTGCTTGCCTTTTCTTACGTTATTGTTTCTCTTTTATCTAAAGAAATGTGTCGCGATCATCAGACATCAGCAACTCAAATATGAATTAATTAATTCTCTCTCCCTGTTTAAGCGTAGACTTATATTGGTAATAATGCCAAAATAATTTAAACAAAATCTTTGTTTAGTAGTGCTAGTAGTACTGTGCTTGTTGGGCAATAATTAAACAACACCATATCTTTGGTATTGCAGATTTTTATCCTTAATCAATTCATAAAACATGTGGTTCTTCGCAGTCTGTAGTACCATTTTTTTAAGAAGACCCCTGCCAGTAAATGTTAGTACTACTTACCACTCATCTGAAAGTCCTTGGAGTGGTAGTAGTCTAGAAATATGGGAGATGAGTTATAGTAATAGATGCGCATTTCATTTAATTTCCCAAATACAATTAATTTGAAACATTAAGGCTCATAAATTATTTTGACTTTATCTCTGGAAAGAAAAATAACGTCGAACACAATAAATTACCACCGTCCTGTACTTAGACATAAACATATGTGAAGGGAAGTGATTCTACCGAAACAACAAATTTTTTAAAATAAAATGACATATTTATCCATCTTAAAACTATCCGTAATTTTCATCATCTTTCCACCCCTCGCCGTCCTCCTCAAACCCATCTCTCCTGCGGGGAAAAAAATCTGAAATATTTTTGCTTGTGAATTACTATTAATTATTTTAAGCTAGTTGAAGCCAACAATTTTGGCCTCGAAGAGAATCAATATTAAATTGTTTGTAATCTTTGACCTCCGAACATATTAATAGAGTAGAGATCCAACAGATTCAAAACCCTTTGACGTAAACAAACAATTCGGACATAAGGGTGCGAATTCGTTACAAGTCTTTAGATTTTTCTCCACTTTATAACATCTCTTTTGCCAAATTAGAGATCATCGTTATTTGAAAGTGTTTTCACATTGAATTACTGGGTTTTTATCATAGTTGGTGGTGTGGTGGATCAATCTTTCCATTTGACACTCTTTGAACTCGATTCTAAAAATTAAATCTCTTCTCAGAATTTAGAACTTTAAGCTTCGGTCACAATAGATTCGAGAGAACAAAAAAAATCATCCATAATCAATGATCTGAAGGACCAAATTTGATTGCGGCGGCAACCGTGGGCGACAGTAGGTAATTTTTGTTGGATATAACCCGAGTGAAAACATACTAGTAATTGTTGGCTAACTGCCACTGATTTAAGGTGTTTATTGGGTATGAAATTAACCAAGGTCGTAATAGTAAATAACTGTAGTAATTATGGCCATTCGTTTTGTCTATAAATGCATAACATTGGAGAAACCCTAGCCTAAAAACTGAGTGGGAGCCACTAGCCGCCGTTCTTCTAAGGGAGTCCGAAGTCAGTCATATTGATCGAGAAGGACTACTGTTCTTATTTTTTGGTGATTTACTTTTATTTTACACACAAACAGTCAACGCAAAAAGGTACTATGAATTACTACTATTGTCGTAGAGTAATTCGCATGAATCTTCTTATACTTACTTATATATTCGCATGAATTAGTACTTACTGCCTTTTTCCGTTATATGATGTGTTAATGTGACTGGAACCTTACAGAGTTTTCACCGTCCTAAAAGGCTAGCAATTTCCTGAACCAAACAAACTTGAAGTCTCTGCCCGTCTCGGTAGGACGACACTTTTTAAAGAAATTACCAAAACTTCAACCACAATTCTTCCTGTACTTACCACATTTATCACCTTCATCAACCATAGCCCCAATCACCCATCTACATACTATATAAACATTAAAAAGAAAAATCACCTTTTTTATTTTTCCCTTGTGACCGTCATCACATATCTTCCAAAAAGTGCAATAGTTAATTATAAGGAGAATTTATTAAATTCTTGTGCTGTTTTCTGGCAGTTACAGTTGGCTTTAGCAATGGACTTGGGTACGTTTTCAGTTCAAATTTTCATTTATTGCATAATATTGATTCAACCAAAATTAGGCCATTCTTTTCAACCAGCATTAATCTTACCTCTGAAAACTAAGCAAATATCATCTGCTTCGCTACCAAAGCTACCAAACCGGGTCGGTTTCCATCATAATGTCACTCTTACGGTTTCCCTCAATGTCGGCTCGCCTCCACAGCCAGTTACCATGGTCCTCGACACAGGCAGTGAACTCCCGTGGCTTCACTGCAGCCACTCGTCGACGGCGGCGAAGAATAAGAACAATCTCGCCGTGTTCAACCCGCAACTCTCCTCTTCTTACTCACCCGTGAATTGCAGCACTGACACATGCAGGACCCGGACACGTGACTTGACCCTGCCCGTTTCCTGCGACCCGAACAAACTCTGCCACGCCATCCTCTCCTACGCCGATTTCTCCTCCGTGGAAGGAAACCTTGCCACGGAGACTTTTGCGGTAGGAAATTCGGGCATACCCGGATTCGTATTCGGGTGCATGGATTCCAGCTCAAGTACAACGCCGGATGAAGACTCTGTAACAACCGGATTAATTGGAATGAATCGGGGCACATTGTCTTTGATTTCCCAATTGGGTCTTCCGCAATTCTCTTACTGCATCTCCAGCCGGGACTCTTCCGGCGTGTTGACACTCGGGTCGGCGAATTTCAGCTGGGTCGGATCGCTGAAGTATACGCCATTGATACAAATATCGACTCCTCTGCCCAGTTTCGACCGGTTGGCTTACACGGTTGAACTCGAGGGAATCAAGGTTTCGGATACGATTCTACCGCTGCCCAAATCGGTATTGGTACCGGACCACACCGGAGCCGGTCAAACCATGGTTGACTCCGGCACTCAATTCACCTTCCTGATCGGGCAGGCTTACACGGCGTTAAAGAACGAGTTCATGAAGCAAACGGCAAGCTCGCTGAGGCTACTGAACGAGTCGGATTTCGTGTTTCAAGGAGCGCTGGACTTGTGTTATCGGGTGGGGTCAAAGTTGCCGGCGTTACCCGCGGTGACGTTGATGTTTCGAGGGGCGGATTTCAGGGTGGCCGGAGAGTATTTGCTGTACAAAGTTCCGGGGGAAACTCGAGGTACGGACGCCGTATACTGCTTCACGTTTGGGAACTCGGATTTGTTGGGAATAGAGGCGTACGTGATTGGGAACCATCATCAACAAAACAAATGGATGGAGTTTGATGTTGCCAACTCCAGGCTTGGATTAACGGAGCTCGGGTGTGATTCTGCAAGTCAACGGCTTGGTTTTTGACCCCTTCCAATTAGTTTTGACTTTTGAGTGTTAATTTAGATTTCGTTTTGGGTAAAGATGATGACTGATGAGCTATAGCGTTAGTCTCTTTTTTTTTTTCATAGTTCTGATTTCCATTTATTACTCGTTGATTTATTGCTATTCTTAACGTGACTCAAACTCGTCAAGAATCAAGATTGAACAGTTGAGAAATAGAAACAATAAATAAATGTTCTTTTTACCCTTTTTATAGTTTCTAGATGAATTTGAACTAGCATAAGAATGATCACAAAATCATCGCAAGTCTCTCTCATATCGACGCCACTATTAATTCTGTGTTTTAGGGAAGGAATTCTTCGATCCTTGCTTTCGGTGAGTGTCATACAGATTTGTCTCATCTAGAAGGAAAAGAAAATTCCATTGCTCGTGCAGAAATCAAACTATTGAGTTGGACGTAGACAAGGACCAGTAATCTCTACGTGTAAGTACGTAATGTTACTACCATGTGATGAGTCCATATCCATCACCGAGACTGGACCGGCCCGCCAACTGTAGAAGGAGTCCAACCGGGATTCTTAGGGCAGTGTAAATTCCTGAAACCTAGTTGGATTCAGGAATTGCCCAGGTAATCTCATACCTATAAATAGGATAGCTCATATCACAATACAGGTACGCAATCTATAGCCAAACAAACTATCCCGAAGCCCTGTTTTGCAGGAAACCCTAACTGGAGTTCCACCACTAAACCGGCGGCGCATATCCAAACATCGTCAAGTGGCATATCCAAGCATCGTCACCATGTTAACAAGGAGTAGTAATTAATTAACTGTACCGAAAGTCTAATTTCCCCGGTGGACCCTACGATGAATGTTGAATGTATAATGTGTTCATTAATTAAAGACAAGTTTACGTATGATGACTGGCTTAGAAGAGCCAAAGAACACATACAGACGTACTACTGTATATACATGTACATTTCAAAAGGTTTGCTTACATAAATTGATTATTTTCTTATTTATCTTGACTGATCAGAATGCATCTTGATGGAAGAAATCGTAGCGTTGCGTCAACTTGTATGATTTTGGACATACAAGTTTCACATGCATGGCGCTCTTATAGCAGTAGCGAAGTCCAATACGACGCTGACCGTTCTATTGGTCGACGAAACTTTGTTTAGTGCCGTGCATGCATCAATATTCTTTCAGGTCTCTAGGAAAAGGGAAAAGCCTTCAGAGCTTAAATTTACATTAAGCATTGCATATTGTACTATTAGTGACATTGATAGTATAAGGCAACTTAAATGAAATTAATTTACCATCATGAGATATCATGAGTGAAAGCGTTACAGACTTTTATGAAAAAATCGCCCATAAATCCAATGTAGTAAAATAGAAACATCATTGCTTCTTATAGTGGTTTCAAAGGAAAAAAATTACGGAAGTTTTTTTTTTTTTTTTTAGTTTTATTTCACACGACTAAGAGTTTTCAACAACAGAGTGTATCCTAGTTTAGGATATTAGGAATTTAGTCTCCTTCATTGTAAAAAAAAAAAAATTGATTTACCATATCCATGGCACTCAATTCACCTTCCCGAGGCTACTTAATTTACGAGTCAAAATTTGTGTTGGCCGGACCGGACTTATGTAATCGGATGGAGTCAAACCAGGAAGAGATGACGCCGTAACGTTGATGTTTCGAGGAGTGGAATAGATAACTCTGATTTGTTGGGAATAGAGGCATACATAAGAAATTGCATGGAGTTTGATAAACCATTTTAATTAGTACGAGTAGATGCTTTCTTTAGTTGGTGAAATTTGAACACGTGACATTTTTAACTTATAATAAAATCATTTTCTGATCTCTTTTTAATATTACTCGATGACTTAATGTACGTGACATTCCGATTAAGATTAGTGCACGTCCAGGACCAGGACTTTTTTTCTAAACGCGCAAATTAAGCTGGTAACAAAATATCTCCATCTTCCAACTCTTGTTAAGTGTAGCGCCTTTCAAAGTTCCATCCATCACTTCAGATGGATTACCAAAGTTGGCTCCAATTGAAGCCATTAATAATTTAATACGACTCTGATTGAAGAATCAGATTTGACTCCACCATTAACAATTAGACATCACATACATATTACCGGCATCCTTCATCCAGATTCCAAACAGATAACTAAACAGAACATAACATATTTAGTTACTACCTCTGTCCCAAAATTATTGTCCAATTTATATTTCACTTTTAGTATAATTTTAAATCAGAAATGAAAATCCAAACTGGACAATAATTATGCGACCCATACAACAGTGATTGGGAGTCTCACAACGACCATAACTCTGCGGTATTTCACAAAAAAAACGCAAAACTGAATTTCTGTTTATTTTTCCGTACGAATCTGGTGGCAACATCTTCAGGCACCCGTGCGCCGTACGTAAACAACTCCGGCGGTACTATAATTAATGTAGCAACAAAAAAAAAAAAAAAGCCTAACCCTAAAATATAGTAGTATAAAAACCCATGGTCTATCATCTATTGTTATTTTTCTTCCCTGACCTTCTCTCGCCGCTATCCTTTTCTATATTGGTTACTTCCCCAACAGTAGAAAGCAATACGGACTGTCAAACTTAGGATGTACCGTATACCATAATTGGCTAATTTCGATCTCTTATTCAAATTGAATCAAACTCACCGTCATCCAAAAAATAAAAAACAAAGTAATTAAGGGCAAATTATCCAGTATACCCGGGGGCACCGTGCCCCCCTCCTATTTTTTGCACGAGTAGTCCTTATTTTACTTTTTCATCAATTTTTTTATGATTTGCAAGAATAGTCCCTGTCATTTTTTCTCTCTTTAAAAAAAAAACAGCTCCAATCTTTCAATGACCATATCTCCCAATCCGTGAAGAATTTGTGAACGAATTATACATGAAAATTATAGTACTCGTCGAGATCTATTCAACAAAATCCATTTCGAATATTTTTTTTAGTTTAAAAATGATCAAATTTCTTTAGGCAGAAGTAAGTTGGATATCCAGTGCAAACAAGTTGGATAATCAGAATGAACACAGTGGATAATCAGTTCAAACAATTTGGATAACCATGTAAATCCGTTGGATAACCAGTATGCACGAGTTGGATAACCAGTATGAACACAGTGGATAACCAGTTCAAACAATTTGGATAACTATGTAAATCCCTTGGATAACCAGCATTAGCGCATTGGATAATCCATTACAAACCAATGATTGGATAACCAATACAAATGAGTTGGATAACCAACTTAGTTTATTATTTTTTAAAAAAATAATAAAAAGAAAAACCAGGTTGGATAAATAATACTAATTAGTTGGATAAACAGTATTAACATAAATAATCAAGATGGATAACCAACTTATTTCACATTCATATCGTTGTGTTCCTTGTATCTTTTGATCCATAAAGAATTATAACACGAATTATATATGAAATTTATAGTGCTCGACGAGATCTATCCGATACGATCCATGTTGAATATTTTTTTGAACTTTAAATGCATTTAAACTTTACAGGCAGAAATGAAGAAACGTGTTTTTTGTTTTTCTTTGAAAAATGGTTATCCGTTGTGTTCCTACTGATTATCCAACTGGTTTGAACTAGTTATCCATTCTGTTCGTACTTGTTATCTAATCATATGTTTGACATTCACTCTTCAAACAAAAAAAAAAAAAGAAAGAAGATGGATAACCACCTCTATTCTGTCCATCAGAATTAAGTCATTTTTAGGCCCGAAAAATTATTCACGGTGAATTTCATTGAATAGATCTCGACGAGTACTATAAATTTCATATATAATTTGTTCACAAATTCTTCACGGATTGAGAGATATGTTCGTTGAAAGATTAGAGTTGGATATGCATACAAACCAAATGGATGGATATCCAGTACAAACAAGTTGGATAATCAGCATGAACACAGTGGATAACCAGTACAAATAATTTGGATAAGCATGTAAGTCCATTGGATAACCAGTATTAGCGCATTGGATAATCAATAAGAACACATTGGATATCCAGTTTAAGAAGATGGATAACCAACTTATTTTGAATTAAGAAGTTGGATAACCAAATGGATAAGCAGTAGAAACAAAATGGATAACCAGTTCAAACGGATTGGATAATCAGCATGAACACGATGGATAACCAATTTAGAACAAGTTGGTTATCCATCTTGTAAAACTGGATATCCACCCCTATTCTGTCCATCAGAATTAAGTGATTTTTAAGCCCGAAAATTTATTCACTATGGATTTTGTTGGATAGATCTCGACGAGTACTATAAATTTCATATATAATTTGTTCACAAATTCTTCACGGATTGGGAGATTTGCTCGTTTAAAGATTAGGGATGTTTTTTTTGGAAGAGAGAAAAAAAAACTCACAGTGACTAAACGTGTAAAACATTAAGGATGGTGTTTTTTCTTTTCCACGAATTACGCCATCTCTATTTTATTCATCTTATCTGTCGTGAAGAAAAACATTACTAATTCTTCTTTTAGTAACAATATGTACGCGAAATACGGAGTACATTTTTTTTCCCTGGAATTTTGATCCGTTCACAAATTGAACCGAATTTTGGCAATCCTCGAAATTTTCCTAATAAAAATATGTATAATTCATTGGACATTGCTGAGAGCCTTAGAGGCCCACCAAGCACCAGCCCATTGGGTAGGAGTGTTAACAAAGATTAATCTAGGACGTGGATCTCAGGATTTCCAAATCGAAATTAAATTAAACGTATATAGAGAAGGGGTATTGGTTGGTGTCTACTATCTAGGGTTAAAGTTGTATTTCTCCTCCAAATGGTCACGGTTAAACGCCGACCGGAGTTCTTCTTCCACAAAGGCCGGTGGCTTCATTAGGCAACAGATCGATAGCCAACCCCAAGGGCCAAGCGAATTATAAAGAGAGGATGACTTACCAACCTTTGAATATCCCTTCACCGATGTGGTTTTATGACTGCAAGCATTACATCAGGGTTGTGAAAGCCCCCTACACTCGCCTTCTTGGGGTATTTGTATTACAGGTTCACCAACAAGAAGGCCGAAGCTAAACTTAGCAATTAATTAAATCTTAGGGATGGCGATTCTCCCTTCTTTCCGCTTCCTTCCGGCCTCCTCGGTAATTTGCTATTCAACATCGTTGTTATTGTTTGTTTCTTACTAGGATATACAGTATATATACATGTATAAATGGCTGTTCACTCCATTCCTCCTAATTGTTCTCTCTTGAAAACTCCATGACAAATTATATAAATCCCAGCCAGATTTGATGTTGCTCTTGATGAATCGGTAATTTGATTTTATTTATTCATCCATCTTTTCTTTTTGTTGTCTTGTCAATGATTAATTCCTCCCCAATATTTATTCATGACATACTTTATATGTTTTTTGTTTAGGGTTTCAAAGCACGTTATGAATACGGGCTCAACCAATTGCTGCTCAAGAAAGGATAATATGAAACCGTCGTCAATCACATAAATTTTGGAAATCAATGTGTACATCCAACATATATCAGAATTTGATTTTTTTTTTTTTCTCATTTTGCAATGAAAGACATTTTTCTGGGGTATTATAGTAGAAGTTTTAGCATCAGAATCTTGATCATTTGCTGTTCATAACTGTCTAATTTGGCCAGCATCAATGTTCATGCCCTTAAAATTAATTGTCTCATTACGATGAATTAATGTTGAATTATGTTTAAGGCCAAAATCATGCATGGTTTTTATTGACCAATTCCGATTAAAACTTAAATTCAGCTCTCATTTCTAGCTCCCAGTTATTTGTAAATGTGATTCCAAATATCTTTTACAGGGGTTTAAAACGTGAAATTGTGAATCTTTTGCTTATTGATTTCTAAACCACCCCCCTCTTTTTGTTTTCTTGAGCTGATTTTCAAATTGGAAATGATATTGACCCAATCGAAGATTTTTAAGAAATGTTTTGAAACTTGGTTAGTTGCATAATTCTTTGGTAAATGGATACTTTAGAGACAAAACCCTTTGATTAGTAGAATTAATCAACTTACATCAAGCATGCATGTGGCCACGGTACTCTTCAAACGTTTAGAATATAACAGACTTTTCTCATTTGATTTGCTGTAGGCTTGTATATATGCAGCATGGAAGGAATTTACTTATTCACTAGATGCATAAATACGAATTTGGAAATAAACATATGCCTTTCTAGGATAGGACCACATCCCCGAAATCCTAAAGCAATCGCGCCTTCAATTGTTTCAGGTCTTGGAATACAATGGGTAGTACTAATAAAAATCTATAAATAAATAAAAGTAAAAGGGATTAATAAAATATAAAACGGAAAACTAGTGCGGGACAAATCATTGGTTTAAACCCAGGTTAATAATTGGTTTACGATTTTATCCTTTTATAAATCAAGACGGTGATACTAATGCCTTTATTTAGTCGTTCGTGCCGCTTACTCTTGATTCATTTGAGAATTTGTTTCTTTACGCTAGAAGCTGACCAATGAAAAGTGAAAATTAAAAAAAAAAATTAAAATAAACAAAGAAGAAGAAGGGTTTTACGTACTTAAAGAAATTTATCTTCTTCAGCAAACAAAAAAAAAAAAAAAGAAATTTATCTTGTGTGAGAATGAATCTTGATGGAAGAAAATTGTAGCATTGAGTCACATTTTCACATAGCTCTTCGCCCCGCCGCATCATTCTAGCTAGCAATGTTAAGTACATACTCAATGTAGAAACTTACTATAGTTAATTTGTCTATAACTATGAAAACTCTTGATTTATTCCAAAAGAAGGCAATTACGTATTCATTTACCTATATGCTAACTCTATGGGATCTAAAACGGGTTGAGCTGAAACTTTTTCTTTTTCTTCTTTTCTTTTTGTTTTAACGAGGAAGAGGCAACACGTATCTAGTAGAGAGAAAATGTTCAATAAGGGCATTAGAATAATAAATAATAATAATAATCATAAAAAAACATACTCTATAACTAATTTGGAAATAAAATCGGTAGAGTACGAAGCTGTATTAATATGGTATTCTAATCTGTGTGTTTGCGTCACCCACCGCGGACGAAGAAACTCGTCAAATATCTAAAACCGTCTAGGATTCGTAAATCGTAATAGTATTTATCCTTTATTAAAAAAGAGAAAAGATACACAATAGAAATGGTAATAAAAGAAATAAAATATTATGAATAATAATACGTACATGGAAAAAATCCAAATGTTATTCCTGATACGAATCATTATCCAAATGTTATTTTTTTAAATAAATTATTAATACGAGACAGAAATATATATGATATAAATATAAATTTAAATCTAGAACTCTTTGTCCCGATAATTAATATATTGCCGCCACTTATACCAGGAAAAAAAATTGAAGGATAGCTGGAAAATATTTGCTTAATTGTCACGAAGTTTTAACTTGTTTTTTTTTTTATCATTCTCCCGTTTAAGTGTGATACGAAATTTGCAAATGGCTGTAATTTGGCGACGTAAGTGTTCCACAGACCACCACGAGTAGCAAGTAGCAAGTAGCAACTTTCCAAAAAAAAATGTTTTGGTCCCACTATTTTTTTTTTTCCGCCCAGTATCTTGACCCCAATGAAGGCCACCCACGTGTCAAGAACTATATCCATAAATCTGCGTTGAAATATCTGAGCTTCCACTGTGAAGTTGCCACCGAGGATTCCCCCAACATATCTTTCTCTGCTGTGGCAGTGCCCACGTCATATGCTACTCTTCTGGGCGTCCCTCCTCCTGCTTCCCTTACCGTCGATCTTCAACCCCTCCCATTTTTCCACCGTTCGATTTTCCTTGAAGAAGCTTGTGGACACCATAAATCCCCGTTATTTACGTTCAAAATTGTTTTTATTTTTTTTTCTGAAAGAAGCAAGCAGAGCACAAGACCAGTAATAGTAGCATTCAGCTGGCTTCTCGTCTGTGTCCAGAATCCAAAGATTCTTTCATATAAATCATTTTTCAACCGGAAAAATTTTGAACTGAGAGTCGAGACAATCAGCTATTCATTTGGAATTCTGAACATTAATTTTTGTTAGTTGGGGTACGTTGAACTTATTGCTTTATCTCTCTCAATTGAATTTCTTTCCATTATTGCTTGATTTGTGGGTTTCTTTTTTCTTCTCTGGATGTTATAATTATTGGTTTCCTTGATCCAATTTGCATTGTGTGAGTTAATTCGTACAGAATATACTCACAATCGCCGGGCTCTGCTAAAATTCTACGGAGAAGAAACTTTTTTCAGAGGGAAAATGTTTGTTTTGCTTGTTTTTAAGATTCTAATTCATAGCGGAAAGGAGATGCAAGTATTTTTGGGAGGTTTTTGGAGTACTGATTAGCATTGGGGAAATCTTCTTCCGTTTTGGGGAAATGTCTTAGCGGGGTCCGTTTACATGGTGTCATCTCTGTGATGCTTAGTTTAGCGTAATTATCTTTTATATTGTTTATACATCTCGATCCTGGAGTACCGAATACGGTCCATAAAACCACGGGATTTTATTTATTGTATTATTGTTAGATTATCGTGATAGTTGCCATTGTTTCTTGACCTTTTATTATCAAGTATTTGATCAGTTTGTGGCGGTTCATGGAAGATTTTTATATAAGTTTGCAGCTTACATGCCTCTCGAATGTACTTATAAGCTTTGCTTATGTATTGTTTTGAAAATTTAACTTCTCTTTTGTTATGGCATTTTTGCTCGAAACTGATTCTCGGTACATTTTGTACTAGCAGGAATAACAAGGGTTGATAGATATATTGTTAACTTGTGCGCCTAAGTTTTGAATTAATCCGGACTTCTCATGGGAGTTGTCACTATTTCTAGCTCTGCCGCCAGAAGTCCATTGGGGTTGAACGCTAAGTTACCTGCATCTACATCTCAGCCAAGAAAACCATCGATATTGTCATTTAAAACCAGTAAAACAAAGAATGCTGCTCTGGTTGCGCCTCAGGAATGTCTTTCTTTGCCTTCAGAGGGATCTAAAGATAATCAGAAGCGACTGAAACGAGCAGTGAAGCGCCCAGATAGAGTGAAAGCTGTTTCTGTTGAGCAAGCCACTCCAACTACCTTAGAACTTGACTACAATGAGGCTGCAGCCAAACTTGAAAGTATATTCAAGAGAAGTCCTGCAACTTCTGTATCTGATGTAGACGTTAAAGACTATGAAATAAAGAGAACACGACACAGAAGGAAGGGGACCAAAGAAGCTAATGTGGACTCTGAGAGGGGGAGTAAAAATGTTTTGGTAAGGAGTAGGAGGAAGAAATCACAAAGATTGAATCTTGATGAAAGGATTGCTTTGAGAAAGGAAAAAGAACTTGGATTGATTACTTCATCCTGGAAAGCAAAACACTCAGAGGATGACCAAGAAGAAAACATAAATAGGCTCATCAGAGAGTATTCCGATTCAACCAAGCTGGCTAGCTTAGACTGGAAGAAGATGAAGATTCCACCTGTCCTGCCTTCTTCTGAGCATGCCTGGCTTTTCAAGTTGATGCAGCCTATGAAGGTGAGCACTAATTTCTTCTAAAGTGAGTAATGATTGTGTGTTGTAAGAACTCAACCTGAGTTGGGGTTTTCTTTCTCGAGATTTTCATAATCTTGTGGGCTTGGAATTTTCTTATTTGCTTAGGCGATTGCTGAAGTGAAAGAGGACTTGCAAAACAAGCTGAGCAGGGAACCAACTGATGCGGAATTAGCTGAAGCGACAAACAAGGATGTTATTCAACTAAGGAAGGACATCGAAGTTGGTCGAGCAGCTAGAAATAAATTGATCAAGGTACTGTTCTGAACAACACTTTTTAGTTCATTCTACCAAAGTTTTTTATCGAACTGTAGTTGTGTAACAATCAGCAAAATAATCTTAGAAGGTGGAAATTTCTGATCTTACTCCTACAGTCCTACCCTTTTCACTCATTTGGGTGAATCGTCCTTCAAAGGATTTTAAATTTGTCATATTGTCTTCGATTCTTGATTATCCAATGAAATTATTCCTCTGGATTCCATGCAAATGTCACAATTCTTCATGTGCATTTTCATTCACATGTAAAATATCATCTTTGGTTGTATGCAGCATAATCTGCGGCTTGTTTTGTTTGTAATGAACAAATACTTTCAAGACTTTTCAAACGGACCAAAGTTCCAAGACCTTTGCCAAGCAGGGGTGAAGGGACTTATTACAGCTATCGATCGGTTTGAACCAAAAAGGAAATTCCGCCTCTCAACGTATGGCCTTTTCTGGATTAGACATGCAATCATTCGTTCGTTGACACTGTCAAGCTTCACCAAAGTTCCCTTTGGTCTTGAGTCAGTAAGTTCTTACATCCTTGATGCTTGATATTTTTCTAAAGCTGAATGTATGTGTTTGTAGTTTGTTATGATATCTATGAATTGTGAGAGAATCTTGAGTTAGTCCTAGATAGAAGGATTAAGAACTTAAACCTCTAATATATCGTCGTCTGATGTAGGTTAGAGTAGATATACAAAAGGCAAAGTTGGAGTTGTTATTTGAACTTAAGAGAATGCCCACCGATGATGAAATAATAGAAAGAGCTGGAATTTCACCAGAAAGATACCATGAAGTGACACGAGCATCAAAACCTATCCTCTCTCTCCATGCAAAGCATTCAACCACCCAAGAAGAGTTCATCAATGCGATTACTGATGTTGATGGCGTGGATGGCGATAAGCGGAGGCAACCTGCTCTTCTCAGACTTGCTCTCGATGATGTGGTAATTATCTCTTCCTTTACTGAGCCATTTCATCTTGATTCTATTGATTTTGAGAAGTTCACTCTCCGATCAAGTTTCACCTCACTCTGCATTTAATTCTAACTTGTATGCATAATTATATTCATTTGAAGTGCTAACTGTACATCAGGTTCTGTTGTCTCTATCTAATTAGCTAACTAAATCTTCTCTAAGTCAAGTTCTTTTCAAAGTCCTTGTGTGGACCATCTTGCTAGAATCCAAATAAAAACGTTAAAGGAAACCAAGAGTTCGTCTATGCATTAGGAGCTGATATATTGGTGTTGAGTTTTTGTCAATTTGAACAACAAATATGCATGTAAATGATTTCAGTGAACTTGAAAAGTCATAATTTAACAATGCTGTAATCCTGTCTTAAAAAAATGAAAGCGTTAAGATTTCCTTCTGGGTGATACTGTCGACATCCCTATGTAGATTCACAGATGATTTAAAGCTTTAAGGCCTAAGAGTATATAATGACTGAAAGATATTTTGGAGTTGCTGTTCTCCGCAAGACCATTGGCGGAGTATCAAGTGGACAGGACTTTGAGGGTCAGTCTGTCTAATTTCAAGGAGAATATCATAGACTTTGTCGTTGAGACGAGTACAGAATCTGGGAGTATAAGGAAGCTTTAACGTGTTTTTACAACAGAATAGAATGTTAAAATCAGTTTTGCAGACATTGGATTTAGAAAATATGATTGAGGACTGCAAGAAAATGGCTTTAGGTGTCTGACCTCCTTCGGAATGATTTCTTGGATCAATGCTTGGTCAAGCTGTTAGTAAGAGTTAGTTTTTAAACACGGCATAAAATTTTCACCATTCAACAATCAAAGAAAACAAACAGAGGACGACTCATTATTTCCTTCTCCTCCTCGTATACGTTCTGTAATCTTGTAGACTAGTTATGTTTCTTTGATACAGTAATCTTGTTGACTAGAAATCTTATGCTTTTTCCTGAAAATAAAAAAAAAAAGTCTCTTTGATCATACTAAACTGATTGACAATTCCTCTGACTTTGATACAGCTTGATTCGCTGAAGCCAAAGGAGAGCTTAGTGATAAGACAGAGGTATGGCCTTGATGGCAAAGGTGACAGAACACTCGGAGAAATAGCTGGGAATTTGAACATCTCCAGAGAAATGGTGAGAAAGCATGAAGTCAAGGCCCTCATGAAGCTCAAGCATCCAGCTCGAGTCGATTACCTTCGTCGTTATGTTCACTAAAACAGCCAAACTACATCTCCTTCTTGCTCGGCCTCTGTATACCACAATATTCAAAACACACAAAATGCACATAGGGCTTACCCTTGGTACATATATATTTTTGTCCTCTTCGCCCCTTAATCTTGTATTCCTGTTCAATTACATGTACATAATCAATGGTGGAGATGATTATATGCGTTTTTAACATGCTAACTATAGTGTAGTACTCTTGTAATATTAATTTACAGTTTTGAATGACATAAATTTACAATACTACTGAGATTTTGAAAGCACTTGTGCTATTTGGATAAATAATGATAAATGTGGGTGTCATGTTCCAAATTTAGAGTGGAAACACATATTATGCCTTTGAACGTCCTTGCCATACACATAACTATGAAGAGAGGGGAAATTATCTGTATGTCTGTCTACGAAGTGCAGGGGAACTTAGAGAGAATCAGACTATTTTGTGTTTGACGATGGGGGGGGATCTCGTTATTCACTCTGATTCAATCTTCGAATTACTTGCATCAGATAATTTCGGGGTTAGCTAAAGCTGTGAAATGGAGTGCGGTCCGGAGGAAGAAGTAAGATACTAAAACTGAGTGGATAAATGAATGTCAAAACGATATCACAAATTCACAACACCCGAAAACGAGTTCTCAGGCTATCGCCAAAAGCTAATTAATTTGGAGTGCGAACTTTGAAAATGAAAGGGAGTGTGAGCTCAAAATCAGTCCAAGACTCCTACTGCCGGAGAAATCAATTCAGGTCTGCTTTTTGTCAGCAGCAAATCCTAAGTCGACGAGTCTCTTGTGAGCCTTGGCATCTGCAAAATAGTGCATGTTCATCCTGAACGAGATTAAAACACCAGTTAGGCACTTAGCCTTGGTTTTCAATACGATTAGCAAACAAAAATGTGGGTCATTGAAATTTGAAAATAGTTTAGTCACTATAGTGTCGATCTATTCATTAGATTCAAGGGAGGAGGCGACCTGCAGCTGGAGGTTTATAATTGTCCAGTGATCAGAAGAAGATATTAAGAATTTCATACAAAATAGGGGCTCAAAAGAAAAAGGCCATATATGCCCTAATATTGGAAGATACTTCTGAATATGAGATGACATTACATGTAAATGTAGTCAGTATGGAACCATCTCTAAATGTCAGTAAAAACAATGGGATATGTATAGCTTTAGCAGCATCAACTTACTCTCCAACAGCCAAAACTTATAGTACTCCTAGGCATCATTAGGTTTTTCTCAGTAACAGAACCTCTATATGCTGCCTTAGACCATTTGGAGTCCTCGGTGACACGCAAACTGCAAGCTTATAATTAAATTATTCACTACTGTTGTGTAAGCAATCGGTGACACGCAAAAAGCTTTCACTTTAGCCATGAAACATAACTACAACCGATAGTGGGAAAAATAGTGTGAAAAAACAGGAAATTTGGAGACACCATGGTAATTAATGCACTTAAAAGCAGATTAATACATCGTAAAACTACACAAATTCCATCTCATTTTCGCTATTGATTGTTTGGGAAACAAAAACACCCACAAAAACAAAAACTTATGTAGTGCACATCAAAAAATAGTCATCACAATTGCTGAAGATTCTTGGAAAGAAAAGATTGTGGTTAATATTTAAAAGTATGCGGCAAAAAAGTCGACGGGGGCACTTTGTGTTTCCTCGCATATAAAGGAAGAAGAAGAATCAGACTTTTTTTTTTTATCGGTAATTTTGGAAGTTATTGTATCAAAACAGCCTCTATCAAAACACTCCAATTCCTTAACTTATTGTAGAATGGTCAATTGGGATTTAAATATCAAAGAAAGTTGATAAATTTCCCATGTAGTTAAAGATTTTACCGAATTTACCTTGAAAAATTTATTTTTAACTTTACAAGACTTTGAAGTTAGCCCTATTTCTTTTAAATTTTGCAATTTTAACCTTTCTTCCCTACTTCTTAATCTCTTAGTAAAAAAAAACTAATTACGCATATTTAACCTTTCAATGTTTGTGAAGGATTAAAGTGAAGACCATGTTTATAGACTGGGTTTTCAGAAGGAAATTTAAAACATTTCGTCAATTTTAGGTTGTATGATTTTATTTTTTTTGTGAATAGTAATAATGGAAGAAGAGAAATAGTTAAGATGAAAGGATTCAAAATTATGAAAAATTCTAATTTAATTAAAATTTCAAGAGTTGATTTTCTTTAACCGTTGTTTTAAAAGATAATATTGGTAAGTAATTTAAAGTTTGTTTTGGGGTGTATAAATGAATTAGATATGGTATGTGAACATTACATAAAAGGCCGTGTGTTTATATGTCTAAAAAGGTTTCATGATTTTTCCAATTCCTATATATGAATTAATATTCTATAAATTAATAATTTTTTCTTGTCCTCAGTCAGACTAGAACAAAAAATGAAAATAAATGAGAAGATTATAAAGCAACATTTTTTCCAGAAAACCTCTAAATAAATATTGATCCCTTCAATAATATTAGATAATAATTACATAAAATAAAAAAATTAATATTTATGAAAATATGAATATAAAGATAATTATTTTTTAAAAAAAACTATATCGATAGTGATAGTTTTAAGAATAAATTTATATAATCCGAACTCTACTTTATCTTCTAGTTCTTAGAAATAAGTTTATTTTTCAAAAAGAACTCTTTAAACTAATAAGTTCTTAATTTATTGTTTAAATAATAAATTTATAAACTAATAAACTTTGGTCGTGAGAGTATTAGTTTGCAGATGTTTGAATATATGAATTAGTAATTTCACAAAATAAAATAAAACATAGAACAATTTATTAAATATGAATATAAAGATAGTTTGTTTTTTCTCGAAATTTGTATCTGAGGTTATGAGTTAAAAATTAAATTTATATTATCTAAACTCAATTTTGTAGTCCAATATTATATCAAATGTTTGATAGCTAATTAGTTGAAGAATTGTAATTGGAGCCAATACTTGCCTATTACATACGAAGTGGCAAAAATTTGTTGATGTGATGGCTCCGGCTGTATGATTGAAATTCCGACTTTGCAAAGCTGAATGATAAGGGAAAAAAGGGAAATAAACAAAGCAAAATAGAAAGAGAAAAACTATGATACTGAGAAAAGTTTAAAATGCCGGAAACTAAAGACTCAATTGATGAACATTCAAATAAAAAACCCAAAATTCGGGGAAAGGCACGGTGAGACAAATGGCTAGGGAAAAACAGCCAAAATCAAACTTTATAAGAAAATAGTTCCCAAAATTTTGACACATGTGAATCCAGGAACCAATAGTTGAACTATAAATGGTTTAAGACTAGTGAAAATCAATGTAGACTGATTAAGATTTGATTAAAAAAAAGGAAGCAAAGTAAAGTGCATGGCCAAAAAAATTGGCCGACGAAAAAAGGGTACGATCAAACTAGAATAAGAAAGATTAAAACTACTTGCATATGTAAACATAAGCCAAAGATTCCAAGAGTCAAGTTATGAAATAAGTGAAGAAGAAACTCCAGAAGACGACAAAAAGGATTTTTTTTTATTTAATTGAAAAAAGGCGTAAATAGAAAGAAGTAGAAAATGGAAAAAACTTGCCAAACCCAAACTCAACAATGTTAGCAGAGAAAGGTAGAGCAGCGGGAATGGTGAAAATGCACATTTTTTCCCCCAATTTCTTTGGGGAAAGTTGGCACTGCCACTGTAGAGGACAACATGCAACCAGTACGATATATAGTGAGCAGAGGAGTTGCACTAGAAAGGCACTCTAGGTTTAAACCTAAAGTAGCTATGAGCGCGTGTAAATATGTAAATATATTAAAATTCAAATTTCATTTCATAATTAATCCCTCCACAGGTATTTTGCCTTATGTATTCTAAAACTTGTCGAGTTCAAGTCAACACTGGTGGTGAGAAATGCAGATCAACAGGAAGGGCGAAAAAGGGTTGCTTTTTCCTGATTTCATCGGGGAAAGATGGCATTGGTTCTGTACAGAGGCAGCATGCAAAACCAGTACAATATGTAAGCAGGGAGGAGAGTGTTGCTCTAAAAAGGAATTCTTAGGACTTAACCGGTTTGTTTTTCTAATCAAAAGCAGCTTCGGCGCATGGAAGTGAATGGTCATCTCGGAATCAATCCCACCACAGGTAATATTTGCCTGGTTTTCCAAAAAAAAAAAAGTAAATATTTTAAAAGTTAATTAAAGAATATCAGAAATAGTAATTAAAGAATTATTCTCCCCATAAAAAAGTAAATACTATAAAAATTATAATAAATTGTATTATAGTTTAGTATAATTTATTGGTTATTAATTTTGGAATAAAAGGATTGCTAATAAGTTTGTACTTCCTTTTTTTTTGTGTTAGTCACATTGTTACTTGATTAAATTGAGCAGCTACTTTCTGCATCAGGATCAGCCTCCTGGGTGGGGGCCGTGGCCTCCGCTGGACCCGCCCTAGATCATATATACATATAATATTTTTTAAATTTTATTTTTTTCTGCTTCTTTTCTCACGGTAAAGCTTAATTAATTGCTACTATATTTTGTTTTTGTGCTATTAATTGAGTTCTCTAAAGGGAACCACCACCGAAAATGTCAAGCTAGCCCCTCTACATACTGTATTTTGTTTATTTTTTTAATTTTCTACTAATGAATTAGGTGTAATCTCTCTTATTTTGATCATAAAATTTGTATAAATGTATTTATCATGTTTGAAAATTTTTATTTGACTTCTTGATTCAATATTATAATTCTATGCAATGTGTTTACATATATTAAGGTTTTGACTATAGTAAATGTGAATTTGTTTTTGGTATTTTATTCCATACTGATGAAAATAATTACAGGAGGAGTAAGATAGTGAGAATAATTTTGAGAATGGTTTTAAAATGTTATAAATGATGAAGACTCTTCACGAGCATATCTAAATTTTTTAATAATATTATTACCAGGAGATCGATGATTCGATTCTCGTTGGGGTTTTTTTTTTTTTTTTTGAAATGATATTGAGTTAAAATATTGCCATAAATAGTATTCCTTTCCTCTTAAGATAATCATTATATTTGAATCGTTACAATACTAAGAACATATTTCTTTACTTCAATATTTTTTATATTATATGTGACCCCTTGTGCCTTTTTATCCTAGATCCGCTACTTAGGAGGATAGCAACTTGGGTTTTTTTATTTCGAGATATAAAATGGTAAAAAAAAATTAAAGAAAAAGAAAAATAATGTCGATGGAATAGTTTGACTGAATATGACAAACTCTAGAGTGACTATTATCATCTTGAAATGGTAAATTGGACATAAGTTAAAACTTTAAAGTTTACAAATGACGAAATAGCGATTTCGGCCTCGACATCTAGATAAAAAAAATCTTCTATATATTATACTAAGGCAAAAATCAGAGAGAGAAAACTAAAATCATGGAGCACATACCACATAGGATTTAATCCTATGTGTCATTTTCTTAATTTCTTAGACTTAAAAATGCACAAAACAAAATACTAAAACAAAAAAAAAGCAACTAAAATTTAAAATGTCATTTAAAAAAAAACAAATTCCTGTACAATTGATCCTCCACCCTGGCGTCCATGATAATCCCTCAACACAGTCCGACATAGTTGGGGTTACACCATACTACAACACTTGTAAACCTGCGCATCGTCAATCCATCTATCCACACATAATTATTGATTAAATATTATTACTATATTCGTCCCATTTTATAATTAAATAGCCTATATCATACCTAACAAATTTTAGAGAGATCTGCATAAACCTTATCACCGGTGAATTTAAAATGTATTTTTTAAAAAAATAAATTCCTGTAAATCCAGAGGTAATCATATTTAAAACTGAAGTCATTACATAATTTATAAAAATATAAAATTTATATAAAAATGTCTAAATGTGTATGCCTTCCCCGTCCATCGGACGGGTCTAACACCTAGTGATTATTATAAGCTCAACTGTCAATTCCAAGCATTATAAAAACGCCACATTACGGGGACCGATTATTAAGGGCATTAGGTATGTTCACATACGACTTCTAGAGTTCGATTTTTAACACTTAATGGATATCTACATTAAAAAAACAAATAATTTTTGTAGCTCCGGAACATTATTGCGATTTGCGTGGGGTCTAGAAAAATAGTGTATGCAATTACAGATACCTTGCTTCCTTGCGACCATATTTTTGTTCGCTTGGAATTTTAAGTTAGATATTAATAAGGTTTGCCTAGTAATCATGGATATCAAGAATATTAGGCAATAGTACTTTATTTTTCTTTCTATATATCTCTGAAATAACTTAATTTATCTTACAGTGGTGAAGACTGACCTTAAATAAGACTACTAAGAAATGATTTCATCTACCAATTCATAATTCCATTGGTAATTATCTAATTAACTGTGAGATGTCATATAGTACTATCAACTATGATTAAATGTTAGTATAGATTTAAAAAAACAAAAAAAAAAAAAGGAATGAGGAATCTGTTAACATGAAGATACTATGATGCAAACTCTTATGCTTGTGGAAATTGATAAATCAGAAAATGAAGCTTAGCCAAAACCAATTTTGCTTGAGTTAATGT